CCATGTGTAAATAGTTCAAAATATTTTTTTAATTTAACGGGTTACTAATTAAAATTCAAATTTTGATATTAATATTTTTTAATGTGTTTACCCGCGTATCAATGCGGGTCCTGATATAGTACTAGATAAAAAGGAAAAACAAAATAATGGAGTACTTATTCGGCTATATGTTAATACATGTGATACTTATTTCCTAAATATAAAATTACTTTTTTATGTATAAAAGTGCTTGAAAACCAACCATTAATATGATTATCACTTTTTACATCCAACAAAAAAATGACACAAAGGTTTACTGATGTATACGATATTTTATCTATTATTATATGATTTTTAATAGGTTTTTAATAAATAAATGAATAAGTTTTGGGATTTATGTGCTACTTTTAGTGTTTTCATAGTTTTTGAAGCCAATACAGGAAATTAGAGCATTTTGGGCTTAAAAGGAGGGAAAACAAGCCTTTTCAAGAAATGACAGATTTTGACCGTCAAATGTTTGGTTTCAGATGAAGATGTTTCCACTGTTGGATCAACCTAATATTTTACCACATAATAGAAAAGGATCTTAGCTTCAAACAAAATATTTGATCGTGGAAGTCCAACTGTTAGATCTCATTATATGCTCATTTTACCGAAGACCGATCGTGTAGTTTCGAAGGATTCCCAAGCTCTATGTTGTTGGGGAACTCTGCAAACAGCACAGAATATTCATCCGTGATCGACCGAATGCCTATGGTGATCGACCGATCACTTACCCACTGTTTTTCACGCCGAGACGATTTATCAAGATGTTCGACCGATCACCAGAGGTGTCCGACCGAACACACCCTGTCCGAGAAAAGAGAAAATCTTTCTTTTTGGTGAATATCTCCTAAATCTTTTAGGATATGCCCTAGCCGACTTCTATAACTATAAAAGGAGACTCAGCAACCACAAAAACATGATCACGCCACACCCAAACCTTCACCCCAAAAGTTTCCAAAGTGTCTTAGTTATTCAATTGTTCGATTGTTTCTTAACGTTTGTTCGATAAGGAAAAAGATTTCAGTTTCTCATACT